GAAGTTTTGTTCAAAATCACCTTCTACATAACTATGTAAAGTTCCCTTTCTACAGAGCAAAAAGGCAAAGAAATAATACATATAGAGACATCCCTTAGCTTCAACCTTTTCTGTTTACAGTCATTTGGCTCCCAAATGATAGAAAGAGAATAAAAGGAGATCTTATGTCTGAGAAACTCTACCAAGAACTCAATGTCAAATGCTTCACAGAGCCAAATTCTTCGGAAAGCATGCACCTAAGTATAAACATCTTGACTATAATATTTGTACGAACATTGACCAAACTCTCAATGCAAATATTTTGTTGACATAGCAGAACATGAATTCTGAGGCTTGAACTGAAGAATAGTATGTGTTTAAAATGTGACAGAACAAGAACAATCAGATGAACATCGAAAAAAGACTAGTGCAAGGCCATATGGCTTGAAATTTTAGGGCCAGGCAATTTCTCATGAAATCAATTTTTTGTGACTGCCTAAAATTTAGCAATGAAAAACCAACAATGATAGAACTTCAAATGACCTTTAAACATTTTTGAGCAAAACGTAACTCTGGTTCGTCTCTCACATTCATTTCCCTACAACAACAGAGTCAAGCCTAAATCCGCTGAAGGAGAATTTTTAATTGAAAACTATCCTACCTCTTGGTACAATGGATCCAACTTTGGAAGGTTCTTTTGAGATTCAAACTGTACTGCCCAACGGAGCCTATTATTTGATGGATATGGATGGCCAGTCCCACATCTGGTCCACAAATGGGAATTTTGAGTGGTGTGACAATAATTCAACATACGAGGCAAAGAAAGAAAATTGATGAAAAGCAAGAAGGCTAAGTACTGTTCTGGAAAGACTTCTAAAACAGGGTAGGGACAAAAACTATTAGCATAATGGAACAGCTTAGCAGATATTCACAAATCACTATCTATAGACTAATGTTATAAGAAACCAGTAATCTGACTGTCAAAAAAAAAGGTGGGTTGGAATGGTCAGGCATTGGTGGTTTCTAATTCTGGATGACTAGTTATTAAAATTTCATTCAAAGAATTTCAATGGATTAGCTGAATGTAAGATAATGGAAGAAGACAGCATAAAAACTACGGAAATTGAAAAAAATATGTAGAAACAAGGAGAGAAACTACCATCACAAAAATTATTCCATAAGTGGTATGCTTACATCCATACCTGCTGGCACTAGTAAAAATGTTCCATCTGGTGACCATGCCAATCTCCTGAAGAAGGATGGCAATGTCTCATCATGGAATAGATGTGGTTTTGATGACACTGACTGAAAATAAAGTGATATGTATTAGCAGGGTCATGTCAATGATAAAATAAGGAAACAAGCAACATTTTCCAAGTTACTAACCTTGGAGTCATCCAACCTTTGTGAGTCTGATTTTGTGAGAACGTGCTGGCAAACATAATTCAGTTTCTCATTGCCCTTATGTTTACTCTGAGGCTTATTAACATAAATCCGACATGTCCGATCAGAGCTAAGGGAAGCAACATACTGACCCAAAGGATCCCAAGCAACCCCTTGAACATAATGCAAATGAGCATCCAAAATCTGATGGACCGAGCCTGAATTGTTGATGCATAGGTTTAACCCAATGCCCACCCAGACAATGAAGTGAAAAAATTTAGGCAACTAAAAGGTGGCATACCTTTAGTAACATCCCATATTATGCAAGAATTATCAACTGAACCAGAAATCATGTACGCACCATCAGAAGACCATTGGAGGTCAAGAACATCTTTGCGATGAAATCTAATCAAGATAATAAAATCAGGGCCACTAGTAAACAATATTGTATCAAAATTGTTTATGGAAAGACCTACAATAATGTCTTTAATACTTTCCAAGTTTGACCATCGTCTGTCAAGTGTAGCTTCCAAATAACTAGTTCACCACCTACAAATTAGAAGAATCAATTAAATAAATCTATAATGATAATGTCACAACAAAGAATCAGCTAACATGAATCAACCAACTAATTGGACTATCAATATGCATACCATCAGCACCTGATGCAAGGTGATCTCCTGCACAGACACACAAAAAGAAATCAAAAAACCAAAATTTATGGCTGTTATCAGGCATCAAGTACAAGGAATTTGTGATATCAGTTGCAGGAATCAAGTACATGGAATATAATGGACAACAAGAGAGAGAAATGTAAGAGGTCAAAGTTTGGATAATAAAAAATATGCCATCATGTAGGTCTTTCAACTTTGTTAAGTGACATTTTTTATTTATATCAAAATCTTATTCCAATCAGATCTCCAAGCTAAATGTCACACTCAAAATCTTAAATATCAGATGTACCATGAAACATTGCACCAACAACCTATAAGGATACTTGCAGTACTCTATAAAAGTTAAACAGCAGCCCAATACACAAGCTCCTGTTAATACTGGATCTAGGGAGGGTCACCAATGTACACAGTTATACCACCACAAGCATAGAGGTTACTTTAATCATTCAAACCCTGGTCTTCTAGATCGCAAAGGCTAACCAGTATTCTAAAAGTTCTGAGGAACGGAACTCCAAACACAACTTGTAAAAGTAATAGAGACATAAAGAACACTACAAATAAAGTACCATTTCTTTTCCCTTTGGAAAAATATTACAGGATAAAAAAAGTTGATGAGACAATGCCCTAGAGAAAATTTTAGTATTTTAGGAGTCATTTGGCAAGGAAATCAAAATCTGTGGAATGATGATGGCATAAATAATCAAGAACCCAAGTGATTCATTCAATTAAAATAGTTAGGACAATAAATGAACAACGACAATAATAACTAGTTTGAGTTCTGAGACCATTGAGCCCTTATTTTGTCGAATACAAAATTTTCTAATTTTCTTTCTTGTGGAATAAGCACACATTTCCCAGGGTGTCATGAAGATAATTACAAACAAGATAAATTCAAAAGTTTCAGGTAGATCAAGTATGTTAAAGGCCATAAAGTTGTTACTTTCATATTTCAATTGCTGAAGAGAAGGCTGGAGAAATGGAGAAACGAACTTATAAATCAAGAATACAATTAATAGCTGTCTGACCTTAGCAATACTGTAAAATGTATGGCCGAAAACACATATACAATATGGACCAGGAAATATTTGTCAATTAACAAAAGTTCGACCTCCAGCATGAACTAATCATCTTAAAATATGACAGAAATAAAGACAAATAGCCTTTAATTAGTGGAAGCAAACACTATGAGAAAAGTAAACATGTGTCCAACTGAAAACAAATATTTGGTCAACTATAAATAAATCTTCAAGCTCATAGAAGAATTGGCTCCCAGTTATCCTGTGTCATTATGAGAAACTGGAAGCTACTGATCATAAAGCATCAGAAGCAGTTTCACTTGATGGATCCTATCCAGAAATTTGAAAAAAAAAAGGTATGCATCAAGCATTCTAAGGATGCCTATGTAGTTTCATTAACAGGAATATCATAAACGATATTCTTACCAGAAGGAGAGAAGCGCAAGATATTCACGCCAGAACTATGGTAAGAAAGGCTATTTTGATACAAAACTGTTGGATGACTCCTTTGTGATTCATCTGATCTTATCAGCCATAGCTGCAAACAAAATGTGATAAATTAAACAATAGTTCAGAAAATTCAGAAAAATAAAAATAAAAATACTACTCAATAGACTTTGCAAGGGTATAACAACATGGTGTGATACGACAAGCCCAAAAAGGTACAGTGATCATCATATTGTGGATACTGTCGTAAATCTCTTTGGAGTCTGAGTACTCTAGAGAAGATTAGAGAGAAACTTGGTGATGATATTAGTGTTCTGAAAAGCTAGCTAGCGAGGAACAAGTCATGCTATCAACAACAGTATAAATAAATCTTGCCTGTCTTCTAAACGATGACTGGGTGTGTTGCCCCAACCCATGAATAATCATGCAGATTAGGGAGGGTTACTACCTGTTGCGAGGCAAACACTAACCTAATAGCTTTTCTATCCATATTCACAGTAAAACTTGCAAACTTTCAAGCTGAAGGGGAAAAACTAACTTTAAAAGTGTGAAAAGTACGAGCTTAAATGGCAAGGATGCGAGGAAACAACTACCACTAGTTTATTATGACTACTATAGGGTTAGAATGGCGTATTAGATCTACCAAACTGAAGACTAACCACAAATAAGCTAGTAAATCATTACGCAGATGTAATTCTAACGTAAATTTCTAAACACTAAAACCTCGAACTCTTTGCAAAGGAAGTGCTACAATTGTATCAAAAGATCGAAACCCGACTCTTTTCAGACTTAAGAAAGCAGTACAATCGAATATTCCGCGAGAATCGAACAAAACTCCATCCTTTCAGATCCCAAGAAAGAAAGCCCAGAAACAATACGAGATCGGAACCTTGATGTCGTGGTCGGCGCCGCCAGTGGCGAGAAGACCGGTGGGGGAGTGAAAATCTAGGGTGAGGACCGGCTGGGTGTCGTGCCAGATGACCTGCACCGTCCCTCCTCGCATCTTTCTCTCGATCAGCCTCGTACGGCTCCTCGCTGCCGCCCGGGGTCCGTCCGAAAGAGCCGGGTTAGGGTATCGAATTGGGAGGCAGAGGAAGAGGCTTGGCGCCCAACCGGTGCTGTGATGGCGGGAAACAGGGTTTAGGGACGTTCGGTGGAGTGCTGGCGGTGACGTAGTGAAGCCCGAAATTTGGCCCGACCCGTCTCTACTCGACCCGTTCTTAGCGGAGTTCGGGCGCGAACGGGAATGGTTCACATCTGATTTTTGATTTGATAGTAAGGATGATAAGCTATTTGATATATACAATAAAAAGATTAATTATGTCTTATTATAAGGATGGGCGGACCGCCACCCCTTTCTGTTTTCTTTTCCTAAACGATCCATATAGATGGGCATCGTTCTGCAGGGATTGGGATCAACCGGGATCCATAATCCAAACATGGTCAGCTTAAACCACATCCAAACTCGACGAGGAGGGAAAAAGGATATCACTCTGTAAATTCGCACTCTCTTGCCATCCATCCTTCCTCTCTCCCGTCCGTTCCTTCCGCGGCAAGGAGCCACAGCAGAAACCCGATATATAATCCACCGTAGTTTTGATCCGTATCGAAGTTTAGGGCTTAGACAGAGAGAGGGATCGAGATGCCGATCGAGATGCCGGTAGGGCTCCCCTTCTCTGTGGACACATGGACACCGACATCCCTGCGGAAGCGTCACCACTTCCTGACGCACGCCCACAAGGACCACCTCACCGGCATCGTCGTCCGCGCCTCCCGCCCCATCTACGCCACTCGCCTCACGAAGAACCTTGCATTGCATTACTTCCCTCGGGTCTTCCTCCCTTTCCTTTCTTTTGATCCGTTGATCTCTGCAGTTTCTCTTGGCGTGCTTGCTGTTTGACTTATGGGTTTTGGTTCTTCTTTCGTTTGTAGCTTGATGATTCGCTTTTTGTGGAAATCGAGGTCGGCGAGTCGGTCGTTGTTGATGACCCTGACGGCGCTTTCTCGGTCACCGCATTCGACGCCAATCACTGTCCAGGTATGTGCACGATCTCCTTTTTTCTTCCAAGCCCTTAATACTATTGTTTAGCGAAGTCTTGGTGTTTTGTTTTTCGTATTTCCAAATGTGTTTTGGTGTGATAATCTCTTTTAATTACCTCGTGATTCTTTGTTGGTTGAACTGACAGTCTCCTCTCGACAAATTTTTTTCGAGCAAAGCTTATACCAAATTTTCTTCTTACAAGGGCCAAATTAAACATGTGTAAGAAAGGGGTCTCCTCTTTATTGGGAAATGGATGGCAATAATTTTATGTTCTAAAATCTTGTTTGGCCAATAACGGTTGAACTAACCATTTTTTACTGCAATCATCTTGAACTTTCTAACCTAAATTGGGACCAGATTTGCTTTATGGTTGAAGAATGTTTTAGGTGTTGGTATTTGTCAAAGTACCTAGTATCCTGTGACGGATTACAGTATTGTCGATTGCATACTCTTGATTTTGTCTGATTAAACTCTATACTTTTGACTTTCTATCTTCCCTTCTCAAATAATGCAATATTCTTTTTGAATCCTTTACTTGTTTGCGTGCATGCAACACTGCTAGAAACAGTTATTTCTGGTTAATATCCACTTTGATACATTTGTTAGTATTTTATATCCGTACAGTATCATCATTAACAAAGGATTTGCCCAACGTCTCAGTTCTTGTTTGGGGGTTTGTAACAGGAGCTGTCATGTTTCTGTTTGAAGGCAGATTTGGTAATCTATTGCACACAGGTGATTGCAGGCTTACCCCTGATTGTCTGCAAAATTTACCGTTGAAGTATATAGTCAAGAAAGGAAGAGAAACTCTGTGCCATCTGGATTATCTATTTCTGGATTGCACTTTTAGTAGATGTTGTCTCAAGATGCCAAACAAGCAATCTGCCATCCAGCAGGTTTTTTGAGTCATTTTCTTTATCTCATGAATGGTCTGGCATATACAAGCAGTACCACTATTAATAGTTTTCAGATAACCTGATTTTTGCAGGTAATAAGTTGTATATGGAAACATCCTAATGCACCAGTGGTTTATCTTTCATGTGATCTTCTAGGCCGGGAAGAGATTTTAGTTGAAGTATCCAAAACATTTGGATCCAATATTTTTGTTGACAAGTCAGAAAATTCTGACTGTTTTCAGGCCCTTTTTCTTGCTGCACCAGAAATTCTTACAGAAGATGCTTCTTCTCGTTTTCAGGTCAGGGTTCTATCTTTTTATCACTCTTTAAAAGATTCTTTAAATCCCATTCTTTTGCTAATTGTTTATAAGGAACAATTACCAAAACCTTCATCATCAAGTTTGGTCTTTGATTATGGGTCACTTCCTGATGCCGCTTAATGCAGATATATAGTCCATACATGCTTCACTGGACACATATGACTTATTTTAAAACATATGATAATTCATATATACGAACTAGCATATGAGGTATCATAAGATGAAGGCAAGTGATGTAGAGGTGAAGAATGAGGATAACATTGGTATGAGGTCTACATGTGGGATCATAGGTGGAAGTATGCATGTAAATGATTCAAATTTTGATTGTGCATAATTTGGAACACTTAATTTAAAAAATAATAATTTGATCAAATCTGAGTCTAATGGATCAGTTATAAAGCAATTACATTATTAAGTTTCTTTATTTTCTCGCCATAGCCTATTAAATTCTTGATTATTTTGTGGTTTGTAATCCAACAATTTCACTTGAACAATGAGTTTTCCTTAGATAACTTGGTAAGGTAAATCAATGATACAATAGGAAATTGCAAAAGTTGCATAAAATATAGTATTGTAAGTCTTTTTTTTTCATCCACTTCAATTTTCAATTTGTGAATCTGTTCTAGGAAGGCCAATTGGACCATACAACAACATCATGATCTAACATGGATCTTTTGCTGCCATTGAGATATGTTAAATTGGATCATATGACAACAGGACTATAACATTAATCTTTTGTCGCTATTGAGATATGTTAAATTAGACCATCAATTCATTATATATGCATTCCTCCTTGATGGATGTATTTGCAAGCAACCATAATGCAATTACCTTAATTTGACTATATTAGAGGCCTAACACCTCTCTTAGGATTGTTCACTGAAGGCTGCATCTGAATTGAGCTTGCATCGATCGTTAGTTGGTTTAGTCTAGTACACTAGAAAGTGACATACCATACTTTGGTTTTCTTCGTACTTTTGTAGAGTATCATAGTTTATCATCATACTCATTGTGCTTTGATTTTTCTAAAGCACAAATCATTAGAAGCTTTCTAGATCAACTAAAGACTATAAACAATAAGGGCTCTTAGGATTGGGCCATTGTTCTAAGTTAAACAATCTCTTTCCCTGAGCCAAGAGTCACCCAAATGCCAAAAATATCTAAATTTGAAATAAAATGTTTGTTTATAAAGGCCCTACACTCTTTTGGCATTATACAAAAAAATTAATCTAAAACCTCCGATTATATTGACTTATCAGATATGTAAAAAGCTATATATCTTTAGTTACGTTATGAGTATTTAAGTCTGTATTTATAATTTCTATTAAGGTCTTTTTATTTCTTTATTTACCTCTCCTATACCACTAATACCATATTTGTAGGTTTCTTGAGCACATGTACAAATAACCTTAAATGATTTTTGCTCATTTTATCTTTTATCGAGGTGATACCTAATTGTTCATGAATGAAAATATTTCTTTTCCTATTATTTCTAATATTTTAACAAATCTACCTTAACATTCTGATCTTAACCAGTGTAGTCAAATGCATCAAGGTGCAAAAATACTTGAATTGTTGGGCGCTCCCAAATATTATAATATAAAATATATATTATGGTAGATAAAAATAAACAAAAATAAAAATAATACATCAAAGTTGCATTTATTTAAAGTATTAAATTACATTATTCATATTTAATAACAAAAATGAGAAAATAAAACAAGATTAACATCAAAGATCATTAAAATTCACTTTCATCGTTTTTAATCTTATCATCATCTTCCTTTTCATGTGATTTATATTCCTCTTATTCATCTTTATCATAATAAATTTCCTGTTCCATAATTACAAACGATGAAATTTAGGCTTTTGCATTCATCATTGTTCTCACGAGTTGTTTTGTATATGTCTTTATTTCACCAACACCTGAAGCGTTTGCTACATCTCCCCATTTCAAATTATCATCATAAAAAATAATTTCATGTTCAGCATTTTTCAAATTTGCATCTATTTCTCCAATCAACCATTTGCTTGAATTATTTATATCATCTAGTGAAATTAGATTAATATTGTCGCGCAAATTATAACAAGTCTTTAATGCTTGATTATACTTTATGTATATAAGATTATGTGGATGTTGATGCTCCAATCGATTTTTTTTCTTTGTATGAATCTGTCATATCATATAAATTAAAGATCCATATAGTTGTATCAGTAGCTAAAAAATATATAAATTTGTTGAAATTGAATTATTCTTATATATTTACATTCTCGAAGACACTCTAATTTTGCTTACAACCTGTAGCCGTACAACTCAAACTTAGAATTTTTATAGTTAATTGTTGCAAGTTTGGTGCAGAATTTCCAAATAGGCTTCACCACTCAATTGCAAATTTAAGTTCAACTATTAGCAATAACATATTTTGATGTTAATTATATTAATTTACAAATACATGGAGATTTAGTAGCTCGCTATTAAATTGTCATAGGAATTCTAAAAAACCCTTAACATTTTAATATGATATAAGCGATTATGTCTTAGCCGATATGATATTTTCTTTAAACGTTTTAATTATGTTATTTTAGATTTTTAAATAACTATCAATTTTATTTTCCTCTATTTTAGGAAAATTACTATAAGCAAAAAGGTTGCACATGTATTGGACTCCATGCGTGACACATTATATTGATTTTATGTTAGTTGATATTAGAAAGATTGCATATATCAAGAAGACATTTAGAGAAGACAATCTTTGTTGTGGATTTTATATATCATCATATTAGGGATTTGAACATGATTTGCCACTTCATTCCTAACATTACATCATATTCATAGGCAAAAACACAATCTTAGAAATATATTTACCTCAAATAAATGGGTGACAAATAAATGAGCAAAAAGATATAAGGTAAGAGAATGAGTAACAAGTAAATTGACAAAAGAAAAAAAAGGCAAAAGGACAAGTAATAATATCTTGATGCCTTCATTTTGTTATCGTATGACTTTGCATTAAAAGTAATGGGTCCTTTTATTCGTGTTCTTCGACTCATAGATAATTAGAAAATGCCAATGATGAAATTTATTTATGAGGCTATGTATAGAGCCAAAAAAACCATTCAAAAATCTTTTGGTAGAAATGGAAAAAGGAATAAAGATATTCTTTGCAGTCATCGATAAAAGATAAAAATGTCTTTATCATCCTCTACATATAGCAGGACACTATTTAAACCCATAATTCTTTTACAAAAACTCTTCCATTGAGTTTGATATAAAAGTTGTATCTGAGTTATATCAATGCATTGCAAGATTAGTTTCCAATATTGAAGTTCAAGACAACATCACAAATGAGTTATCTTTCAATTGTATTAGAATGTTGAGGGTCTTGGAATTCCTATGATAATTCAATCGAGGGTTATTAAGTCTTCATGTATTTGTAACTTAATATAATTAACATCAAAGTATGTTATTATTAATCGTTGAACTTAAATTTGCAACCGAGTTGTAGGGCTTATTTAAAAATTCTATGCTAAACTTGCAACAATTACCTATAAAAACTTTGAGTTTGATTTATGGCATTGTAGCTATGAGCAAATTGGAGTGTCTTCGAGAATGTAAGTATATATATTTTAGTTTTAACTAATTTATTCTGTTTTAGATATTGGTGCAATTAAATATCTTTAATTCATATGCTATGACAGATTCATACAAAGAAAAGAAATGGGTTGTAGCATCAACACTTATATAATCTTGCATACATAAAATATAATTAAGCATTAAATATTTGTTATTTTTGTGAGATGGCATTGATCCGATTTCATTGAATGATATAAATGATTCAAACGAATGACTGGTGGAAGAAATATTCATCATTTTTGCGAGATAACCTTATTTTATTTTGTCATTTTTATTATTAGATATGGATGATGTAATTTGATACTTTAAATTAATGCAACTTTGATATGTTATTTTTGTTTTAGTTTATTTTTATTCATCATGACATATAATATTTAAATTATAATATTCAGGATTGCCTTGTTTCGCTTAGGCGAGCCCCTAGGTCAGTGCTTAGTGCCTCGAGTGTTTTGGCACCTTGACGCCTAGCACCTTTGACTACATTATGTCTAAAAGTAATGAACATATAAGCCCTTATGATATCCCAATAATATTTGTAGATTTTAATCATGTACTTTTCGAGGCCAAAACTCTTACATAAACCTAAAGAGTTAAGAGCATTCCAAATCTCTTTGGTGGCAGAATATCTAATCATGGAACTAGTCTCCTAAGTGGTAATGTTAAGCAGTAATCTCTAAGAGAAACCACACCAATTAGTAACATCCTTTTCATTCTATAAATCATGATAAGATCTCATAGATCCATTAAGGATTAACTCTTGTTGAAGTATATGAAGATTGTCAATTAAGACTTGTTGGATAAAGTTGTCTTATTTGAATAGTGATGAGGTTTTAATCAAGGTTTGAAATATCGTACCATACCGACGTTTCGATATTCATTCGGTATGGTACGATATAGTATATTGAGCGGTGTATATATACATATATATATATATATATATATATATATATATATATATATAATTCGGCGACATCATCGAAAAAGGCGACGCGACGTGGCCTTTATTTTTATTTTTCAACCTTTTTTCATGCTTTTATTCCAAACTCAGTATGTCTCGATGTATCAACACCGACTGCTATTCAACAGTTATGACTTCTTTACCATGCCAAGTGTTTACCCTGATCTTGACATGATCATCCTTTTCCCTTAGCATAGATAGTCCCATTTTTTTCCTTCAAAACTAATTTATTCTGTCCAACACCGATGACAGTAGCAACCTTGTCAGCAAGGGAAGACAGAAATCGAAGGAATCCTTGTCATCCTCTCCATTGTCTTCTCCAACATCGATGATCCCAGCATCCTAGGTTTGTATCACTTAATTGGTTCTCTCCTCTGAATAGGAATCCAGGGACCTAAAAGATGGTCCTTTTTAGAGATCTGAACCCCTTCATCATCTCTAACTGAGCCATCCACCTTAGAATGGGGTTACTCTGAAGGGGATTGAATCCTCATCTCTCTCTCATAGGAAAATTCATCACATGATTCCTGTTAGATCAGGCATTAATTCTATGTCCAATGCAACCACAGTTAAAAGATAAGGAATATTATCATAGGGGCTTAGATAGGTCTATTTTCACACAAATTCATGCAAATATTCTCCTTTCCATCGAAGGATCTAGACTCCAATCGAAGAGGCTCCCAAAGATAAAACAAGACTAAAAATGAATTCAGTTTTTTAGTGTTTCAAAATGGAAGATCAAGCAAATACACCCATAAATATACAGAATTAAAAATTTCAAACAAAGATTGGAAATTAGATTTCCATGGATTCAAATCTAAAGTTTCACCTCTATAAGACCGAAGTCATTTGTAAGGATCCTAATAGCATCAGCTTCAGTAGTGAAGTAGAATAGTTACAAATCTTTGGCCATATTTAAGACAAGCAGAGGATTTGGAAGTCCTCAAGTCCAATTCACTATGGACTGGTCCAATTCTCTAAAAAATTCATGCAAGTATCAATATAGACTTATCAAAATAGAGTCCATAGGTTTAGTGTCCCTATATCAGATACCGTTATCTACCAGGTAGCATATTAATAATGCCTTTCCTTCGTGATGCATGAACCTGAAAAGTGTCTCAGATGTTACCCCATTACACAACTTTCTTCACGTGCTTATTCTTTGGACTCTTTAATGTTCATCTCAAACCTCTTATCATTATTATTATTTTGCAGTAGAAGTAAAAGACAAGTCTTCAAGCTATAAGGTGTGAGAACAAAGAATATGTTTCCATTTGGATTTTATTCTGACATAGACTTATTGCACCTTGTGTTTTTAAGCTGTGGCCACACTTTCACTAGGTTATCCAATTTTTCTCATAATTTCTTCTTGAATTTTTGTGCCCAACAGGTGCTTCCTTTATCTAAACTATATGATAAAGCAAGTGAAGAGCTTGCAAATGCACGTGCTAGTTTTCAACCAGAGCCTCTTTTTATTCGTCCCTCTGTACAGTGGTATGCTATCGATCCTAACCGCTACAAATCTCAAAAACGGAAAAAATGTCCAGCAGAAGCTGAGAGGGATGAGTTTGGGGTTTGGCATGTATGTCACTCCATGCATTCATCTCGAGAAGAATTAGAATGGGCCTTGCAGTTTCTCCAGCCCAAGTGGGTTATTTCAACAACACCCCCTTCCCGAGCTATGGACCTAGATTATGTTAAGAACCATTGCTATAAAACTCATATAAGTTCTGATGACCCATTATGGAAGTTATTCAAAGGCTGTCATGTGAAGTCCATTCCTTCACCACCTCCCTCAGCTTCAGAGGTTCTCAAGAATAATGATACCTCCATTTTTATCACTAAAGTATCAACTTCTGAGATCAATCAGTTGCAGCCAGAAACTTCATCTCAAAGCCAGTTTGAAGTAGAACTGGACTTATTTCCACCATTGAGAACACAACCATTTACATTATTTGGAAGAGCAAGGCTTGGACATAAAGAACTTGACATAATTAGAATTGATGAGAATAGTATTGTTGAGATAGAAGTAGAAAGTTTTGCTGCAAAACATGATACACTGATAGAACAACCATCATCTTGCCTTGGATGTGAGATTACATGTTCAGTAAAAGTATCGTCTGCACAGATTGCAATTACTGATAGTGTATCATATTCAATGGAGGAGCAAATTGTTGAACAGAGTTTTGCGAACCAATCAGATGACACTGTTAATAGAAGAGTTGAGTCATCTAATGGATATTCAAAGAAGGCTTTAAGCATCTGTGAACCTTGTATTGTGAAATCAGGAGTTGATGTCAAAAGTGACATATGGAATATCACAGAACCAGAGGATGATAAAATGGGTACATTACCTAATCTTGATAAGTTGGACGAACAGCTTGATGTTAGAAGGGACATGCTGTGTATTGGATCATCGTCAAGTTTTAACCCAAGCTTGAGAAATCTCTATAGATCAATGAATGTTCCAGTCCCCCGACCTCTTCCATCAGTAGCTGAGCTCATGGAATCCTGTAAACGTGCTAAGAATGTTACTAGTTCAGATAATACTGGATCACGGCAATGCTATACTACAACCGCTTTCTTGCCTTCATAGACCAGGATTCTTCTGTGCAGGTGAGCGACAATCTTATAAAAGGTTTTAATTCTCCTCCAATATTTCTCTTTCATGAGTTGATAAAAGCGTCTTGTTGGTTGTCCATTGATGGTTGTAGACATCATTAATGTATTAATTGAATTGTGTAAAATTAAAAATTGGAATTTGATTAGTTGTGTGTTTAGTGGATAATGTGTTAGAATATAAACCAATTATGCACCATATTTGATTTAGAAATCTAATGAAATTATATGTTAAATAAAGGATAATTTATCAAATAGTGCCTTCACTATTGGTTTTTTTATCTAATGACATCTCCACTATTTATTTTTGTTAGATGGCGTCTCTTTTTTTTATAAATATCAATTTTGCTTTGGTTCTTAAAATTTTGTGAAATTAATGAACTAGTTTTAGTTAACTGAATCAAACCAAGTTTTCCTCCTTTCACTTGTCTTCTTCTTGGCTTCACGTCCTCCTTTCCTTCGCCCCGTATTCTCTTGCATATCCCTCTCCCTCTTGGTCGCCTCATCCATTATCTTGATTTTTGTTTTTTTTTGTCTTACTCTTCGTTATCTAATCATAATATCTATCATATGTGTTTAATTCTTTAGGCTCAATATAAAGTTGATCGTGAGTTATACCTGTTAGAATTATTTCTGGCTTAGTGAATTATTATCTTCATAATAATAATAATTCGTTCAACTTATCGATTACAAACATACTATACTACTATGCCACAGTCCTTAGACGATACAGGGAAATTCAATCCATTGTACTTATCTGCCATTAGTTACCATATATCTATAGTCCTTCATCTATCTAATATCTTAGAAATCATATTTCGAGTATAGTGTTGTTAGGTACATACAGTTTCTACTCGAGCCTCGTTCTAATCGGATTCTTCTAGAGAACTTTTTCTCTCTCAATGTGAATGACCATGATTAGAGATTTACTTGAGCAAGAACACATAAGATATTCATCTTATGACATCGAGAGTGGATGATCCTCTATCGATGCTCAATAGCTCTCGCAAGGTTGGTTGCCACTCTTGATGACCGGTTGTGCTAGATTTGGAACTTCTAGGTCTATAAGTCTGGTATCAAAGAGTGGAGTACTCATACAAGATATTCTTAGTATCTCAAGTTTAAGAATTAGATACACCATTAAGACAACAAAATTATTGTCTAATAATGAGGTATCATCAATCATCCAACATTTCGTGAGCGAATCAATCAGTGAACTCATTCTCCAATGAGCACATGCACTATATCTCTAGTGTTCCTATACGAGCAATTATGAGATTAGCTGCCTCAATCATATGGACGAGTATACAATACATCAATCTATTTGGTTGTCTCGATATCACTCTATAGTAACTTATGATCGGGATTATTTATGGTCTGTGTTTAATGGTGAATCAGTCTCATTATTGTAATATCATCACGATTCGATTTCCGTTGCACAGATCCATATATATCACAATGTATATAACAAATAATATAAAGTGAAAAAATACCAAATATATAATTTAAAAAGTATATATCATGTCACACGTGTCATCACCCATATGATTAGTTTGTAGGGCACCTATCACTAATATCTTTTACAATGGAGATAATTATGAGATTGGGTGCTTACTTAAGTCTATAAAATGATAAGACTAACATGCTTTTTGTTTTTTTGGCACAACAAATTCATTTGAGTGGGTAATATACTTCTCTTCTCGATATTACCATATAAGAAGGTAATTTTTACATTCATTCGATGAACAAATAATTTATAAATAAAATAAAAGTAAGTAATCCTCAAGTCAATATTATTTGTTCATCAAATGAATGTATAATTTTTACACACACACATTATATTATGATAGAAAAATAATATTATTTTTAAAGATAAACTATATATATTAACCATCTTGAAAAAAAAAAGTGATATATTGATTGGGTGATGATATATCATACGCACTTATAAAGGTTTATGGAATAGAAACAACATCCTATAATTTTTTTAATGAAAATATCAATTAAGTTAGTTTGTAAGGATTTTGACTTTGATGTCAAGATTCTCACGAAAATATCAATTGAGTTATCTCGTGATGTTTTTGACCTTTGATAACAAGGTTCTCAAATCAGATCCCATCATTTTTTATGAAAATATCAATTAAGTTATCTCGTAAGGTTATCAAATTAGATCTCATCTTCATCATTTACCGTAAAGTCTCCTTTAATATTTACGATAGATCACTTTGGTCTTCTTTAATTTGTCTTTAAATTTGATTTATTTTCTTTCAACGAAAGAAGTTGACATGCAAATATACTCATATGTATCCTCATTGGAAAGACAGTGAGTACAAATGCAAACATTATAATGTAAAGAAACTGTATATGTACCAAAAGGGAAGTAAAAGAAGAAAGTCATATTGTCTGTCAGTACAGAACTATATTGACCAAATGACATTCACATAATGGGATCACCATTATTGCTGGAAACAACAGTATGATTAATACAACAAGGACACAAGAAAGCGTGAGTGTGAGGCGTGCATTACATGATGACTTAATCTCAGGCCAAAGCTCCTTTGAGCCCACCTCTCTGAGCACACCTGCACCTGACCCTCAGTATGAGGTAGGAGAAGAACCTGTAAGCCAAGATGAAGCACACCATCATCATCACATTCTTCCACCTGCACTCCTCCTTCAATCCTTCCTTCCTCAGCACATCATCCCCTCTCAGCAGGCACACCCCAAACCCGTACTCCAAGCACTTGCCGGAGCCGGAGAACTCGTTGATGAGGAATCCCTCGAACGGATACTTGAACAGGGAAACGTAGTGCATGAACACCCAGTAGCTCGGCATCCACTGCTTCGATATGAAGTAGCCGGAGAAAAGGAAGAAGGTGCCCATGATTCCTGAGATAATCGAGTTTCCGATGATGAAGTTGGGGGCAAGAGCGCTGAAGCAGACTACCACCGAGTTCGCGGTGTACAGGATTAGCCATATTAACAGCAAGAAGTACATGAAGGCTGAGCAGCTCGGCCGGAGCCCTGCGAGCCAGTAGACCGGGACGGAGAAGAGTACGGCCAGGATGAAGAGGAACGGAAGGAAGACGAGCCCGTTGGCGATCACATAAGAGGAGACTCGGTAGCTGCCACTCGATGTCTCCTTCATTAGAATCTCTCTTTCCTGGAGGAAGATCGGCAGCGCTTCCGTGGTGCAAGAGAGCAGGAATGTCAAGATAAAGGCGAAGAGACCCACTCGTTCTCTGATGTTTTCGTCCTTGAGACGGTAGAATATCGAGCCGAGGACGAGGCCGGAGACGAGCATTTGGATCGTCCGAAACGCAAACAGTTGCTTGGTCCGCATTACGTTCTTCAAGAAGCGGTGGGTAAGGATGGCGATCTCTCGGGGCCTCGAGTTAGCGTACTCGTACGACAGCTCGTCGGGGTCGAGCCCCGCGAGCGACTCCTCGTCGACCACCTTGTGCTGCTGAAAGAGCTGCTGCAGGGTGCACCTGTCTATCTTGCCGTCAGCTCCGTCAACTAATTTCTTGGGAAACTGGGGTGGTGGTGCTCTTGCCGGCGGCGGTTGTTGCTGGTGATGCTCTAATTGCCAGCGGCGGAGGGTGTCGATGGAGTCCATGGCGAATTCGAGGACGTTGGCGTGCCGGGGTAGCTCGAGATCGACGGAACGGAGATGGGAGTGGAGTTGGTCGATGGTGCCGTGGTGGAGAACGGTGCCATCGGCGAGGAGGAGGACGCAGCCGAAGAGCTTCAGAATGCGAAACCCGGGCTGGTGGATGCTGAGGATGATGGTGCGGCCGCGGGTCTCGGCCATGTCCTTGAGCATGTCGACGATCTGCAGCGCCGACGTGCTATCGAGCCCGGACGTGGGCTCGTCTAGGATCAGCACTCTCGGGTCGTGGACTACCTCAACTCCAATGGAGACCCTCCGGCGCTCGCCGCCGGAGATACCCCGGAGGCGGGCGTCGTCACCGACACGAGCGTCGGCGACGCGCCCCAACCCGAGCTCCCGGAGGAGGGACTCCACCCGGGAGCTCAGCTGAGACTGGGAGAGGCCGAGGCGGAGGCGGGCGCTGAACATGAGCGTCTCCCGCACCGTCAGCAGGGGGAACAGAGTGTCCTTTTGAGTCACGTAGCCGGAGATCCTCCGGAAATTGGACTTGTCCACCGGCCGCTGGTTGATCAGGATGGTCGGCGGCGTCGACGGGATTATCTTCCCGGCGAGGATCTCGAGCAATGTGGACTTGCCGGCGCCGCTTGGGCCGACGATCGCCAGGATCTCCGACGGCTTGGCGCGGCAGCTGACGTTCTGCAGCACATTCCGGACTTCGCACTCGTCGCAGGGCTTCTCGTCCGCTGCATCAACAACTTGTGCATTGTCTTCCTCGCTGCATGATGCAGGGCGGTGACTCGACGCACCACCACCCTCCTCTCCATCTCTACTCCATATCTTCTTCAAGGGGTGACATCTCTTCGAGATGGAGATCTGGTAGCTGATGCCCGTGGCCTCTATCTCACAGCCGGCTTGTGGCTTCATGAGAGCTCTCCCACGTCTCCTCTAAGCCTCAAACCCACTTGCCAAAGACACTCCCCACCTTACCTTCTTCCATAAGCATGGCAGTGCAAGATACTCGAAGACCATTCTGCCCCTTGAATACTAGGGTAGTTTTACTAGGTCATTTTCCATGTCCCTGTCCTGGAAATGCGTTCATGTTTCTTGTCACCGTCTGTGTGATCCATGGAGGTGGACAATGGTGATGACACAAAGAAAGTTGGCAATGGAAGGGAGGCGTGGGGATTTGAAGAATTGAGGAGGGTAGCTTGGGGTGTTTAGGGTAGGAGAGATGCACACCACTGTGGCTGTCATGGATGATGATGGCCCCACGGTCTCACATGAGGACTTGGTGGCTGATATTTAATTGGGGGCCACAGCTTATGTCGTAGCCCTGGCTCATGAGCTGATTAGCTGGATAATGAGCACTGCTTACTGGTAGCTGTAGCACCACCACCACCACTTAATATTCCTTGATGCCTCCCTCTGCCACAAATCTATTTAACTATACGAGTGCCCTCAGGAAATTGTTATTAACATGAAGAGAATCCTTTCCCAAGATTATTAACGAGAGCTGAAAACATTTGGTGTGATTGGATCCCGGCCACCGACTGGAGTGAGAAGCTTAAAGCAAAAAAACCAGTGGCAGAGTTGCAGTTGCCGCCTTGCGAGTGGCGAAGCGCAAGTCGACCGGAGGGGGTAGTGCAAAAATGAATCAAAAAGAACTAGTGGCTGAGAGTGGAGGGGTGAAAATATCGGGGGGCCCCACCCTTGGTTGGCACATGCTGACCTGGCTGTCTTCCTTTTGTTTGCTTCCCATCTCTATATCTATATATATATATTCTATCCTCTGGCTCGCCCGTGACTTGTTCTTCTTCTGGCCCTCGTGAGGCGACCCTCAAATATACACGCACACCCACAACTGCTCTTAAAAAAATGGCATACTTGTGCACCCGTGAACTCCTCCTCCCTGTAGCTTTCTTTAGATTGACGGCTGAGATCTTTTGATTTTATTGTAGGAAACTTGAGAAGGTTCTCGAATGATAGAGGAGGAAGTCCTCGTGATGTTGTTGCATGTTTGCTGTTCTCCATTTTCTAGCTCATATACACTCTTCTTCTTTTCGTCTGCAACTAACTGTACAAGTGGGATCATAGAGGAACAAGTGGTCGAGCGTCACGTAGATAAGATTTGTTATCCAACGAAATAATAGAATGCGATTCGATTGCATTAGAGGACGAATGTAAGGTGGCAGAAATCGACACCCCCATTAATATCTACAGTCACGGGTGCATGGCAACTTCTCTTGCGGGTCAACCATGCATGGGTCAAAATGAATAGTGGATTTCGTCTTCCCGAATGCAAGTGAGGGCTGTAAGATCACAAATAAATAGCATTTTGATATCTCCTTTAGATTTATATTTTTGACACGTAAGTGGACTGATGACTGACTGGCTTGAATATGAGGGGGTAAATTTGAACAATCATAGTGCTCGAATGTTGCATTGCCTGCCAATTCATTGCGATTAACAGTAAGAAATCCTACTTTGGCAATCGCATGGACAAACAGGTCTCCCTTCCCTGGCCTGCGCTAATGACTCTCTCCTTGAAGTGACGGCCAATCTGAGGTGAAACCGCTAGAACACAATGGAAAGTTTTAGAATGGTTTAAAGTGAAGGAGATCATTATTTCTTGGCCATTGTACGTACATCTAGAGGGGTCAAGCAGTTCGAATATATTTGCTATAAAAATGTTATTGGATGCCATTGAACTTACCTGCGATGATATTATAATGGATCTGTCTTCCCTTGGCCATTGAGGTCTCTACACATTAGCGAGCTTTCTTCTAAAATGGATGCCTAGTTTTTTTCTTTTAAAGATCATCCTAAATTATAGGAACACTTTATAAGAGGAGTAGGATGCTTACCAACAAAGACAAGAGAGATAAAAAAAGTGTCTCTCTTCTATTAATAAAACATATGTAGACATGAACTTTCTTTGTTGGTGGTCTAATTGATTACGGTGGTTAGATGGGATGCTTCACATTCGTAAGCAACGAACCATTCCCATCTATTTGGGAATGATTCCCAAATTCCGATGAAGAGGCTTTGTAAGAATGTCGGTGAGCATTAGCTATGGCTATATTAAATGTGAAGTCATTTAACTATAATAGTACTTGGTTGGGGCGGCTTCTCTAAAACTGTGCATCCCATTTCTCTCTCTCTCTCTAACTTTAAATTTTTACTAAATAGTATCTTAATTTCACATAATATTTTTAAATAACCATTCTCAATTATCATTGGCCCAAGCCTCAGTAGTGACTTTGCTTTTTCAATCACTCCCTTTGCCCTAAACTATCACAAATCGTTAATTGCCCATGATACAAGCATAATAACATATGAATGTTAGGATCGTAAAGATACTGAGAGAGAGAGAAGGGGGAGGATGGGTGAATTAGTGCTTTCGAAATAAAATTCTCGTTTGAAAGTTCGATCGAAAAATACTTATCGAAAATACATTTGACTTAGAATATAAACAAGGATAGTGAGTAACTAAATCAGTTAGTAATAGTAAGAAAAAATATAAAGAGAAATATAAACCAAATTTATAGTAGTTTGATCATCTCGACCTACGTTTACTCCTGATTCCTCTTCCTTGAGGTCATCGTCTTTCACTACTGATCTTCTTTTCAATGGGCAAAGATCAACTATTCTTGTTCCAACTCTTTCTCCTTTTCACATGCTTAGGAGAGAACCTTCGTACCTTTCTTTTACAAGGAAACCTCATACCTCCCTTAGAATGATTTCTAAACTTAAGGAGGAAGAGATTCAACACTTTTCAAGATAATTTACACACTTAAAATCATAAGTTTTTTTTGTGCTTTACAAAGCAAGTATGAGAGGAGTATTTATAGGCCCCAAATTGCTTAAAAAATGGACCTAAAAATTTAAATCTTTGAGTTTTCGGAGTATTGGTAATACTATCGCTTGCGTTGGGTGATACTAGTACCTGACAAAGCTTGGGAACTAGGGCTCTAGCGGTACCACCGCTTGCTTGGGCGATTCTACCGTTGACTTAAGTGGTTGTACCATCAAAATTTCTAGAAAAGTATAATCTATAATTTCCAACTCATAAGTGGTAGCACAGCATGGCCCAACCCCAGGTCATTGAATTGGCCTTCAAACTGGCCTAATTTGATCTTGATTTAGGCCCTAGGGCTCCTAACTAAGTTGGTATGGTTACGCTCCAAAACCAACTCAATTAGATTCTAAATAACTTCGATCAAGATTTAACAATTACAGAAACTTACATTGTCCGGCATGTTATATATTCATATGGCATTTCGTCTGAACCTCCAATACATCATCTTTTCCTTCGGCATATTGCCTGATCCATCGGCATGTTAACTTCCCACAACATTTGATCTTCTAGCTCGATGCCCAAACTCTGACATGATGCTCTCTGGCCTAACGTCTGATTCTTTTGCTTCAATGATTTGTTTTTCCATAATTAAAGTTTCTCCTGCGTCACTTATGTCAAATACTTATTAGTTCATAAACTCATTAATTGATTTCATCATTAAAATTCAAAATTCAATAATCTTTCTCTTTTTAATGATGACAACTAATTGATGACGAAGCTTTAAGCAGACTCCCTTTGTCTATATGTTATTTTAAAATATAACAAACTCGAATTCAAAAAAGAATGACAACACTCTAATGCTAGTTGTTGAATTCAAGTCGAAATAATCTTAATCATAAATCATAGTGACTTGTATCATATTAGTTAAAATGTCAAAATAATTATTACATAAAATAAAAATATTATCATTATAAGTTAAAATATCATAAGTTAAACATCGTAATTTTTTCATGACATCAAAAAGTACAATCGACTTCTCTCCATTTGTCATCAACAAAATGGAAAAATATATAAATTTTTATTTCTCTTTAAAATATGTAAGCTACTACTTCTCTCTCCCACTTTGTCATCATAAAAAAAAAGAGAGAAGGATATTATAGATTCATAGTACTATTTCTCTTCATTTATATTAATGTGTCAATTGTACAATTATTTTGATATCACATAAGGATATTAATATAAAAAATAAATTCAAGTTATAAGAGATAATTTGATGATGCGATATACAAGTTATGAATACATAAACAACGAGAAATCAAGATAATGATCCATTTGAATGAATTTCTAAAAGAAAAATTAAGAATTCATGGGATTCAACATGTATAATTCTTTTCTAATAAAATCAAATTATTCATCAGCACTTACCATTACATATTCAACATCAACGGTAGATAATGTAACATAATTTTATTTTTTTAAAAAATAAAAATCACATGCATAACATAGAAACTACCTTGAATTACGAATAATGCGGGCACGATAACATACGATGCCTCATTCTCGTCAAACCCTAGCAGTCACCTTCGTCGCCCTCACGCCCTCTGCCATATGGGTATTCCCCTCACTATCAATCATGGGTGAGAGAGGAGATAGGGTGATCCGTATCATCCGGGAGATGAAAATTAAACTCAGTCAAACTAATTGATGTATCGTTCCTTAATTTTGGAGATTCAATTTAGGCAACCATTTAATGTCATAAGACAGGAAGAAGACTATGTTGCAGATATGCCATCTTACACTAATCAGTCATTAAACAATAAGTCAAACTAGGTTTAAATAAACTATCTTACACTAATCATACATATATGTATATATATACATATATATGTATATATATAAATATATATGTATATATATATACATATGTATGTATATACATATATATAATCCATTTTATTTACAAATGAAGGTTGGTTGGAGGCCCCGCCGGCCCATCATCTCCACGACTTGCCGTAACGGTTCTGAGCGACAAGCGTTATGCCGTTATATATAGTCTTCTAAAACTCCGGTACACAGAGAGATCCAATTCAGATCGAGGGAGGAAAAGAATAAGGCGAGCTGAGCTGGTATTGTTTATTAATTAGGATGTTTATCGCAATCCACGTCAAGGAAAACACGGCGACAGGCGACCAATTCGTCCAAAGTAGCTTCATTCCCTTCCTTGTTTTGTTTTGATTTCCTTCCTCTCTTGTTATTTTCCTTCTTGTGGATTTTGGCACCGATTGCCTCTTCCCCTACTCCGATCCAATCCCCTCCTTCCTTCTTCTCCCAAGGCCAAAGATTAGATTAAAACGTGAGGGACTTAAGTCGCATTTGGTACGTGCATCCTCCAATTTCTTATATTTCTTGGTTTTTCTTTTTCTTCTTCTTGCAATTCTCGAACTATCGTGCTATTTTCCCTGTTTTCGAATCGCCGGATATTTGTCGATCCCTAAATGGATTCTCAGTTTTGGGCATATATATTGTCTCAAAATTCTAGCTTTTAATGCGTTTCAAACTATGCGTGAATGATGGTCTTTGTCAATCTAAATGTCCTTGATTTCGATGCAGTTTAGGTTAAGATCTGTGAATTTTAAAACGCAGACCTGGTGTGTCTAATTTTATATCCTCTCGTGGTGATAAAGATTTGATCTTGTTCGTTCTAGTTTTGTCGATTTTGTTACGGTGTATCCGGATGAATTGATCGATTCCAGCAGTTTATAGTTAGTCAACATTTCCTTGAGTTTGTTTCCTGTTCACCAAATTCTTGTTCTACTAAATCTTTGAAAATGTATGACACAGTTGTAATGGTAACAGACTTGGATTTCACGATGTCAAACCCACAAGGTCCACCCAACTTTGGAAACTTGCAGTCTGGTGGATGGCATTCCTTCCTTCCTCCAAAATGTCCCATTTTTACTACATCAACATCTGCAGATTTTGTAGGTACTAAAGAAAATTCAATATCTAGGGAGGGGTTAAGAACGCACCAGCGTACTGCATCTGAGAGTTTTCTTCTTGAGGAGCAGCCCTCTTGGCTTGATGACCTTCTTAATGAGTCTGAGATGCCTGTGCGGAAAGGATCTCATCGGCGGTCATCTAGTGACTCTTTTACATACCTGGACACATCTAGTATTTCATGGAATGGAGACAGTTTAGCCCAGGATGACCACAAGTATCGTACTTCAGCAGCAGTGCCTTCATGGGGACCTCAGGAATTTGATTACCTCAAAGACATGCAGCTTGCATCTTATTATAATGATGCAAATTCAACAGGAGGAACTCGAAGTAGAGGCTTAGAGTTTAGCAAGAAAATGGCTACCTATCCAAGCAACAGTCTTCCATCAGCGAAGGACAAGCTTGTACTTCCAGGTTCATCTTCTGCTACAAAGAAGTCTGATGCTTTATCATCTACTCTCATGGAAGGCCAAGTCAAAGAGGAATGTAGTCAAGATCAGGTAGGCTCTTCTGATACCAAGGAAGGCCCTCAGGCTAAGCACAGTCAATCTGAGATGGAAGCAAGGCGAGCTAAACAGTTGAGTTATGATCCTTATATTTCTCATGCTTATGATATATTTATTTTAAAAAAGCATTCATGCTCTTGCCAATTTCTGTTAGTTCAGAAGAAAATTACTGCCATTAAAATAATATAGAAAAATAAAAGAACACCTGAATTGATTAAGATGTCATCTACAGGTCCCCAATAAGGTTTTTCTGCATAATATGACATCAGACTTATCATTAATTTGTTCTAATATGGATTGTAAAGCTTCATAATTACAATTTTTCCATTAATAAATTGTTTTACATTCATCAAGGATTTAAATACCAATCTTACCAGAACCTATCAACCAGTTATTACCAGTCTATTGAATTCCATCATTTAAACTTATGGTTCGATATTGATACATATAAGGTGCAGTGTAGTCAAAGGTGATAAGCACTGAAAGTCACCAAGGTATCAAAAAGCCCAAGGTGCTAGGCGCTTGCTCAAGTGAAGTGAGGAGCTCAATAATATTAAATTTTAAAAAATTATGTATGATTAAGGAGAGAGGGAGCTATCATAGAGGAGAAAAAAAAAGGGGTGGGCGGGGTGGGGGGGGTGACAATAAGAGGGAAGGAGAGGGGGGAAGTGGCAAAGAGAAGGAGAATAGAGGTATAGCTATCGAGGAGGTGTGACAACGAAGGTGGAAGAGGTAAGGATATTCGAAGAGGAGCTATCAAGGAGGAGGAGGGGGAGGGAGGGGTACTGTCGGGGTTTGGGGAGGCTTGGCAAGCGATGACGATGAAGGAGAAGGTGACAATAGCATGAGGGGAGCTATCGAGAAGGAGGGTGAGAGAGGGGGGCCATCAAGAAGGCTCAGTGGAGGATGACAGTGGCAGAGGGGAGGAGAAAAATGGAGAGCAATAATATGTGGAAAAGAGGGAGAGTGTTACCATGAGATCTGTATCATGGTAACTTTCATTGCAAGAGATAAATATAAAGATCTGTATCCGTAACTTTCATTGCCACTTTTCTTCATACCACTAATATTAATCATCTCATCCCTTGTAACTACCATTTTTATAGGTCTCCTAAGCAAATGTTTTTATCATCTTTATCTATTCTCTCTCTTTTTATTTTTTATTGAAGAAATATCAAATTGTTCATGAATAAAAATATTTTTTTTCCTATCTTTTTAAGTAACTCCATGCATCCACCTTAACATTCGTATCTCAACAACACACCTTTTATACATGTTTTTTCTTAAATGTCTAATACTCAGATCCATAATGGGAACTGATTCATGCAAGGGACATACCTCATTAGCATATCCATGATGTTTAAATATTTGTTGATGCTGTAGCATCAGCATTTGACTTTTGTGCTCATGCTTATTCTGAAATTGAAAAGGATGTGTCAGCTCCCCTGAGAACTGATTCATGCACTTCAACTGGACATGCATTCTATCCCTATTTGAGTGGATCTTGTTTTATGTGGATGATATCATCTTAAATCACTAATTTATGGATTTATTTTCTAAATAAAATACTCTTGTTACATATACTTCTTCAAGGTTTTATCAATATATGCTCTCATCAACTATCATTGACGATAATTATAGGAGTTGAATAATATGTAATTAATTTAGAAATATGTTGACTAATGTAATGTTATTATTTTTTAATAAACTATATAAATAAGGCTAAATTATTATGATTTGATCTATATATTCACTCTCTTTATCATAGGCAATTTGCTCAAAGATCTCGAGTACGCAAGCTTCAGTACATTGCTGAGCTGGAGAGAAATGTTCAGGCATTACAGGCAAGTTTTAAGCAGAAGCCTTTATATTTTTCGTAAGAAAAGGTAGAATGTTTTAACAAGCATCTGATCCTTTTCTCATATATCACACTTTACAGGCAGAAGGACTGGAACTTTCAGCTCAACTGCAGTTTTTGGATCAGCAGAACCTTATACTGAACTTGGAGAACAAAGCCCTGAAGCAACAACTGGATTGCCTTGTACATGAGCATCTTGTGAAATGCCGTAAGTACTTAGATTAAGATACAAGAAAATCAGTATATTCTTGTCTTGCATATTTTTCCTTAGGGTTTCCTTGGGTAATATGTTCCTTTAGTTGTAAAGATGTATGCTGTCAAGTCAAGTAAATCATTATAGGCTTTGATCACCTGCTGAGATTAGAAACTTCCCAATAGAGCTGCTAGTGCCAAGTGAATTCCTATTGGTCAAAGTGGAAGATCAGAAACACCGACTTGATATGTAACTCATCAATGGCATTCAATACCACAGAATGTCCATGAATTAGACTAGGTAACACTCCTGACGTTAGATATGGACTTTCTTTTGCTGAGTTAGGTATCAAGTCAGGCCATATTGAATGCTCGTTTTTCAATTCAACCCAAAATGTAAATGCTACTGGCTTATGGAAGGGGATGAGATTTTCTAGAGGACTTTTGTTGGAGATGACTTCTTCTGATAAGAATTTTGTATGTGATGACATAATTTAATTTTGTGGAAGACTTTACTATAAAGTAAAGCACTTCCAAAATGTTGATATTGGACCTGGCTTGTAAGCTATCAACAGTTGGTAACTTTTCATCTACCAGGTGATATTTTAGTTGCAACATTAGATGTGCTTGGGTCTGCTAACCTAGTATACTCAGTCATGCTTTTAAAATGAGTTGATTTACAAATATTTTTGAGGCAATATTTTACAAATTACTTAATATTATTGAACTGAGAGACTCTTAATTTAACTAGAATGTACAATGTGTTTGTTTGAAGACTCTTATTCTGATGAATTAATTAGCTCTGAATCCTTTGTAACCTAAATTTTGAAATTAAAGCATTAACATAAATTGAATAGCAACTATTAGCAAACTCTATATATCATGTATTGCTGGGAAAATTGACAATGAATTAGATAGTGATGAGAGATGTACAGCACCACCGTCAAGACAATTTAATTTGACTAGGGCTACTCTTGCTGCTTCAGTGCTATTGTCCAAAAAGCAAAACCAGCTCTTGTTCTCTTAATGTGGGAAACTAAAACTTATAAGCACTTCCTAAGTCGCCGCTAGTTACATTTACCGCAAAAAGTTTGTTATGAGAAATATTTGGTTTTGCTCCACTCAAATCATTATGTGAAAATTCCTTATCTGTTCAGAACAGTCTCATACTAAATTCAAATTGTCTAATGTTGCTTTTGAATTTCACAGTTCAGCATGAGACATTGGGCCAAGAGGCTGCACGTCTTCGAACTTTGTATCATCGTCAACAACAGCAGCAGCAGCAGCAGCCACCTCCTACTCACAGACGCAGTAAAAGTAGGGACCTTGATTCTCAGTTTGCCAATCTCTCCTTAAAAGGAAATGAATCAAGTTCCGGTCCTGGTCAGCTCCACATTTGAAGCTACACTTCATTAGCTGTCTGACCATGGTTTAAGTTCCACCACAGAGCAAGCTGGATTTTGCCATCTTGTCTGAGGCGCATACTTTTGCAATATGATTTTAATTCTTTTAATAGGTTTATTATGCTCACCTGACGGTCATCCTCAGTTAATGTGTCTGCTGGGACTCGACAAGTCGGTGGTGTTAGGTTTTGCTTATAGCTATGTTTTCCTGTATAACAAGTCATTTGTTTACCTCTTTTCGCCCTATTTGGATCATATCTTGATCTCTTCTCAGTGAATGATGACCAAGAAGCTACAGTATGTGGCAAATGACGAAAAATAAATTCACTTTGTGTTGTTCTTTGATGGTTGATAAAATCCTGTCTGATTCCTGAGCATGGAATTGGCTCAGTTGCTGTTCCAGATAATTTTGGGTTCTCTTTAGTGCCTGCCTGGTTTCTTGGCACTGAGAAACATGTAGAAGGTATGATGATGATACAACCCTTGTGTACCAAATGAAATTGAATCTGTCACTCTGCTTACTTAACAACTGGAACAATTATGGCTTCATCCTTTTTTTTAGACCGAGTTTAAAGTCAATTTTCGTCCGTTTTTGTCACGTGGATTCCAGCAGAAGGGAAGAACAATTGTCATAATTTCCTCTGTTCATTAATCTCAATGCTCCGTTGCATTGAGAAAATAGCATTATAGAAGCTGGATTTATGAAGGACTTTTCGGGAAGGTTATGTTGGCTGTTGAAGTCTATTTTATGTCAGAAAATATTTGTGTGGGATGAAAATGAAGATGAGCTACAGACTAGTCTCATATCATTGATGATTGAAAGACTTTGCTAATATAGGTTGTGTTTGTCTCGTTAAGTATTTGAATTGTGATGCTGTCTCATTTAGTTTTTGTTCATTTTTCATGATATGGAGAAGGAAAGGAGCCATTGAAGTAGAAGCTGTTCATTTTTCATGATCGGGAGAAGGAAGTAGAAGCTGTTCATTTTTCATGATCTGGAGAAGGAAAGGAGGAGCCATTGAAGTAGAAGTTGCTCATTTTTCATGATCTGGAGAAGGAAAGGAAGTAGAAGCTGTTTATTTTTCATGATCTGGAAAAGGAAAGGAAGTAGAAGCTGTTCATTTTTCATGATCTGGAGAAGGAAAGGAGGAG